TATGGGTAATTGTTTTTGCAACTATTCAATAGCTATCCATTTATCATTTAAACAATTTCGAATTTAATTTACTCGTTTAATAAACAAGTAAAAACAAAAAATAAGTTTTAACATATATGTATACCAATAATTGTAGTTTCCATTAAAAACAATAATTCTAGACTATAAAACGTAATGTTATAAATTATTCATTACTCAATGCTTTAACGGGGCGTCGCACCGGTGATTTTCAGTGGTAAAACCATGTTTAAGCATACTGAAAATAACTCGCTTAATTTTGATTTTAGAGTAAAAGCACCCATTATAAAATTAAAAAAGAACAATATTCTGGAGTGCAAGACGGTACGTTTTTTAAAAAAAACTCATTTTTTGAAAAGTTACAGTCATTTAAAAATGTTAAAATAGTCGTTATTTCTAAAATATGTATTGAGCGTAATACTTGGAATAATAAAAAAAAACAAACCGTCTTGCCCTCCGGAATATTGTTCTATTTTAATATTATAATGGGTGCTTTTACTCTAAAAACCAAAATTAAGCGAGTTATTTTCAGTCTGCTTAAACATGTAGAGATAAAAAAACATTTTTAAATCGCTTTTAAGGATGCCGTAATAGTCCAAAAAGTAAATCAACTACCAAAATAGAGTCCTAGTTATTGAACTAATAATTACACATCACAGTTTAACCTTTAAATTAAGATTTTATGAAAAATTGCCTATACTTTACTCCTTAAAAATAGGCGGTGCGACGCCCTCTTAATAAGAGTTATCGTAGAACAGGCTGAACAGCATTCATTAATCAACAAAAACAATATTAATACATTTAATATTACCACATTAAAATTGTATTATACATATAAAAAATACAACAAAAATCTAAATTTATTATCTGATCTTCGAGTAAATTATTTGATCCCTACTCAAAAACTAAATTATCGATAATCCTAGACTACAAAACATAATGTTATCAATTATTTATTAAACAACCGATTTTAAATGAACTTGTATCTATAAGTTTGTTTTGACTAATGCCAATTCGCATGCCTTCCCCCCACAGTAGTAAGTTAACACACGAGCTGCACGTATGGTCGAATAAGTTCACTAACCTACCGAGTGAGGTAGGAGAATATATAAAAAAAAATCCTGAATATAGATGGGGACACAATCCTACAACCAATAGTTAGTTAAATGATGGTTAACTACTTTAACTATGCTTAAAATTAAGTCTTCGACGTTTTCAGCTGTTCGGGCTAATGTTCAGCATGTCACCAGACAGAACCAAGTCAACAGCAGGAAACAAAATTGATCACCCAGAGATCTTCACAGCAACGATACCATCCATCCTTAATCTGCACTTTGACCATGCCAGGACGCAATCGGCCCAAACTGGTACAGCTCGACAAGTCCAGACTCGCCACGAGAAGCTACCTAAAATATATTTACACATGAAATAACCTTATTCGACAGCAAATTTATAAATATACTACAAGCCCAATGACTTTGTATGTACATATGTGTGTTTTAAAAATAATAAATAACATTACACGCTTTATTTTTTTTTTTAATTAACATAGAAATTGTGTCCAGACAGAATATTCAAGTCGTTTTTAGACGTCCACCCATCTTAACAAAGATTAGTGGTATATTGTTATACCATCACTAGAGTTCGGATGCAACGATAATTACTAATTAGATACTACATTTACTTATACTATTTTTCTGAATTTTTTTTTTTTTTGGAACAATAATAAGTTAATAATGTACAAATACAACGCGAGAACTTATTTAATAGTTAGTTTAAATTTAAAAACTAGTTTTATGATTATAACAATGTATTGTATATTATTTTCAAATACTCACAATATATAACAATAATTTTTGTCATCTACATTATTCATTTCGGATATGAGCGGATAGCAGCTTTCTTTCTTCCTCCGTTCACACATGTTGTGTCAGAATCCTAGAATGAGTAAATCATTTGTTTTCAACAAGATCAAATACATTTCATACTTAATATTTCACTTTTATACACCGTAGTGTGTGTGTGTGTACAGTGTATTTGTAAAAGAATACTAAGCCCTTGCTTGATTGGACTATGCTTATCGTAGGCAGGACATTGTTACACCAGCTACTTGTCCGGTGGACCCAATATTATAACTATATCATCAAATTAAACATACTATATATTATTTTGTAAGATCATTTGATCAAATAATTAAGAAGTGCAATACGTATTTATTATTAATAATCAGTTTTACTTAATATAAATCTTGACGATTTTATACAAAATACAGACTGTTTAAGTAATGAAGTAATGGTAAGATAATGAGTTATTTAAGATATTGCATTGTTGTAAATTTAAATAATCAAATATCAAAATTCGCAAATGTATTGCTAGCGACATATTTAAAATAGTAAAAAATACATTTAGGCAATCTCCAATTCTAATAAACATTTTTAGTAAACAACTGTAATTTTTTCTATTTATTTAGCATACCCAACGGATGAAATTACAACTGAACACGTAATACAACAAAAGGCATTATGTAAATATATTTATATATGAATATAATATGTAATATTAAGTATACAGTATTTAATAAATACTGTTAATTAAGTCAACACAACAAAGTTAAAAGTTATAAAACAAATTTTTTTTTTATAAAAAACGTTACAAAATATTTTTATTTTATATTGAAATCTTATCGTTTTTGTCAAAAAGATATTAGACAATTTAAATAAATATGTATTAATAAGACAAATGGGACTAACCTATTTTATAAAATTTAATAACCTTTTTTTTTTATATTTGGTATGTAAAATACATTGGTAAGTTTTGTAACAATTAAAAATATTCCATACTTGGGTGTATAAAAACCAAAATTATTTCACAATACATTTAAACTGATGTGTCTTCAACTACCTCCTTGAATAAAACACAATATTATTATTATTTATGGTCATTAAACAGAATTAAAAAATTTTTAAATAAAAACAAGTACCTGTAAACTTTGTAGTTTGTTTAGTATCTTCATGTCTAAACTAAAATCGCGACACGACGTCAATCTCAACTTGGATAATAATTCCTCGTCCTTAAAAAAATTAGTAAAACAAGCAAAATTGTTCAAAAATAGCATAACAGAAAATACAGTACAAATGTCATAGGTTAAATATACAAGTTAAATAATAATTATTATTGAAGATCACACAAGTCGGCTAAAATGGCATAGAAAAAAATATCGTCAGTGTAACCGAATTACTAGTTGAATGTGTATCGTACTTTGCATTTTTTACTCAAATCAATCGTAGAATTGTACACGACTTCTAAAATCTTGACTAGTTTAGGTATGTACGTAATTTGACAACGAGCATCTACTTTGAATTTGGCCGATGTTTTTTCTTTTGGGGTCAACTGTAACTTTCTTTTGTGCTGGAAAAAAAAAAAAAGTAAATTAAGCAAATTAACACTGAAAAGTTTAAATGACAACAAGTCTTACCTCGACGAATATAATGAGTTTCGAAATATTGGGTATTATTCTTTTATTGTAATAGAGAAATAATTCTGATAACCTGTAAACATTTTTAAAACAAATTTTTTATTAGACGTGACATTAAATTTGCCTACAATGAATTCAAATTACTACACCAGTAATTTACAACAAGTGGTAAAAATGTAATAACATATTAACTGTACTCAACGATGTAGTTTTATAAGTCGGATCTTCGGCAGTCGAACAATCGTGGAATAATTTAATTATGCCGTTTATCGCGTTGATTAAATCGCAAACGGTTTCAAATAAAAATTCCGTCATCTGCCCTAAAGGTATTTTTGATTGTACGAAATAGTTTGCGATCGACATTGCTTTTATCGTTTGTTGGATGATTGTCTCCACGGTTTCCAAATGGTCCTGAACAAACGTTTTGTTTTGTTTGAGGGGGCATACGGCCGCCGTAGTGGAAACTTTTTTCTCCGCTTCAAGCTTGGACAAACTCCACGATATGTGTTTGATTTCTTCGCGTAAACATTTACATAGTTCCATCGACAGCGTAGAGTTGTTAAACACGGTTTTCAATTTTAAACATTTCATATTGAAATCTGTGCTTTTGCCGTCGATACGTCCAATTAATTTGGAAGATGACTGCGCCCAGCCGGCCAACATATTCATATTGTCCTTGTGGTTTTGAAATGCACAACACAATTTCAACGTGGTTATCAAAAATGTATTAGCATTGTTTTTGTCCACGAAAGAATGTTGTTCTGCTACTTTTGTTAATTTCGTTAACACCTAAAAGGGGCGGTATTAGAGAGTCGGATTAAACTACTATACATATATACGTATTTCACGTTAAAGTGTCGTCAAGTAATAAATAATTAATAACATTACGTTTTGTAGTTTAGCACTATCGTTTTCGATGGAAAATCCAATAATCGATATACATTTTATTAACTGGTATTCGATACTTTCGATCAAACTTATGTTTTTCAGTTGATTGCAATTAATTAAATCGTCCAGATAAGAAATGGTGTTGTTCAAAACACTGAATAGTTCTACTTGTTTGTCGTAGACTAAAAAATGTGCATCTATTTTTTGAGGGTTAACAAAACACAACAGTTGTATAATATATATCATTATGTATCGTAAGCATATTTTTTTTTCTACTTACAGCAATCCGATATGAATTTATCCAAATCGTTTAAATACACCCTATTCGAACACACGATCGAAAGAATTTGTACGTAACATTCCAGCACTTGTTTGACCACAAGGTAACCAAAGCACCGTAGCGCTTCAAGAAAATTAAATAGGAAATGGCTGTACAACAACCTGCAACATATTTTTTTTTAAATAAATATATATAAATAACAATAAAACCTAACGATATGTTTATGAAGTATGAGTTTAGAGGTATGAAAATAAATAAACTAATTAATTACATTCCTAATAAGCAAAGATGCAGCAAATTATATCCTTACTTGGTAACGTTGCATAGGTTTTCGTACAAATTTGGAGGGTTTTCATTGTTTTTTAATTGTTCTTCTACGAAACATAAATAATTCTGGAGTAGCCTGAGAACAAAACACCATAGTTCATTCATTTCAACCGATGGCAACGTTATTCGTCTATTCGTCTTCCAATCGGTATAGCTACACATTTAAAAAAAAAATAAATCATAAGTATTATTATTCATCGGCAACTAAAAAACTATAACATGCGAAATTCTTACATTAATAAACACAAACAGTTGAATAACGATTCAAAGTTTAAAAAAATTATGGGCTCCACAAATTCAGCTTTAAATTTATGATCTGACAATTGATCATTTGTAATACATTTTTTAAGTTTTTCAGCTCGCTAAACAATAAGTAAGTTTAGAACGTATATTTGAAAAAAAAAAATTGTTTTTAATTTTTACTTTAACACTGTCTGTGATTTTATTGTAATTTTTTATTAATTTTTGTAGTTTATCGCATTGCACGTTTTTACTGAGCCAACAGTAGCTCATCGAAAACACTATCAATCCTTGGTAGGTGCACAGAATTATATTTACAACTTGTAAATAGTCACATTCGAGAGATTGCCACTTTGAAATTATATCGTACATACTTTCATTTTCATTCTTAAAGAACACAAGTTAATCAAAATAATTTCAAATAGTTAATATTCGTTTTTTAAACGTCAATTTTTAATATTAATACAAGATTTACCACGTAAACTTCATCTAAATTGCATTCACTGTAAAAATCGACCAACGGGTCAAGTATATTTTTTAGCAACTCACTATTACAGCTGTTGTTTGCAAGCATATTAATAAATAAATTTTGAACTAATACAATAACGTCGTCCAACGGTTCCTACGATCAGTATAACAATACATCGGGTTAAATTATCGAAAAATATCACAGTCAGCGGTGTAGACGTAACCGTGTACAATGATGTGTGCACATACACATACGACTGCCACTGTCCGTATAACTTGTATCATACTAACAACAATCGTAGGTCCATCGCGATTGATTATTATGGCCTTGTCGAACTTGAGCGAAATCTTTCCGTCATGTTTATAATAATTTAAATACGACCGCAGGTGGTCTAATAATATACTAATAAGAGCACATTCTACATTCGAGTTGTTCACAGACAATTTGAATAAACCTCTATAGAACAAAGATTTTACTATTGCATTTTGACGTAGACAAATTTTCAATAAGTTTATTATTTCCAAGCACAATTCTTTAATGTCGTGTGGCAAATCTTTTGAGTAGTTGTTTTTTAAATTACACAAAGTCACCTAATAATTATTATACAAATTAATGTAATTATATTAGTGTATTTTAATAATAATTAATTAATCTAAAATTTTTAACAAATTAAATTTTAACGGTAATATTATTTATATATATAATATTATTGTTACACAATGTGTAATAAAAATAACACATGGGCTTTTTTCTTTTGCATTAATATATGTTATTTAAAAAAATGTATAATATGATTATAAAAAAAAAAAACCCAACAACTTTGTCTCAATGTATCGAATTATTAAACATAAACCAAATTTAAAAGATACCATATTTATTTATTTACATCTGTAATCAGAAATCTAATCCTAAACATTCGGTTAAACCATAAAATATTACCTGAGTAAAAAGACCAGGCGAATTATCTTCGATGAAGTGATTTGTCGAATTGAAAACGGACCGTAATATTTCTAATAATCCATTAACGGCACTACATCTCACTAGTAAATCCCTGTAACCGTATAATGTAATGTTAAGTATAAAAAAATAATAAACACATATAATATAATACTTCTATACACTGTAATTTATTTTGGCGCATGCATAAAGGTAATTTTTACATTAAGCTAAACTCATATTGTATTAACACAACAAATAGATAAATTTTGATATTTAATATTTTTTTTTTCATCAACTATTTTATAACACACCCAATTTTTGTTCAAAAACGTACGTTTCTACTTGAACATTTTTGTTAATACTAAGTTTTTGTTTATTACTATTGTAAGTACTTGTATTCTTTAGAAAATTTACAAGGTATTGATTGTGGCACAATTTTAAAATTATTTTCAATTATTCAACTGATTATTTTTTTATTTGAAAAATTACGGTTGTTACATATTCAAAAAAATATTTTAAATTAAAATTAAAAATGTACTACGATCGATGCATCCGGCAAGTGTAGTATTGAGAAATCTATATCTATTTTTAAAACCACTGTCGGGTTGAGCTTTTTAAAAATAGAAGGAGTGGTTTTCAACCAAAGACACACAGATGTAAAGGCCCTTCAAACCACAGATAGGTTCAGAAACGGTTTATGCCCCTCACGTTTTGTGCGACCCAACATTAGTCTTATAAATCAACCAGAAGAATGAGCTCAGATAATCGTCAATGTTTAGGCAAAAATATTGTAATATAAAGTAAACACGTACTTCGATTGTAGTTCTTTTCTCAACATAATCATTATATTGTTCTTGACAATTGTCGACGACTTGAATACAATCTTTGTCGCGTGTAACACTTTATGTGTTTGTCCTAGTGGCATACCTCTTATCAATCTCAACAAGTCACCATTGTTTTCGATCAATTTTGCATATTGACTTTTGCATAAAACGTGCAAACATTCTGCAACAATCAAACACAATGCACTCATGTGTGTGTACACATTGTTAACTATAGAGAACCAGTTTATCTCAACACAATATAAATAAATAAACGATAAAAACAAAGCCAAAGCTTGAAAGGGGCTGTAAATACTCATTATATCATTTACCTAAGTACTGGGCAGGTGTACTCGTCGACTGGAATGACGATTCTGTTAACATTTTTAAAACGTATGTGGTGATGTACGTGTATTGTTTTTTTTCAAGCACAGATATCAAAATGAATGTTCCTAATCGGTGAACTTTTTCAATAATTTCCTTGTCGTCTAAAGATAACATTGTACGATTAATCAGAGTACAAGCAGTTATTTTTTAATAGTATTTTACTCTTGGTGACGACTCGTTTTGTATTGAGTAATGACAACGCCAATTTAATGAGTCCATTTATGACACCTTTGTAAGATAAAATTCTAAACAATAAAATAATAGAATTTTTAAAAAAACCGCTATTGCTTTATTTACCATAATATTATTATAATATGCATACTTATCGTTATTTATAAGACATTTGAATTTTTGTTCACAATTGTTTTTGGAAAACAGCTTTTTTAGCCAAAACGAACAATTTAATAGTTCATCATCAAAATACGATTGAATAATCAGCTCTTTCAAATGTTTTAGAACCTAAAACAAACAAACAAAAAAAAAAAACATCAAGTACACAGTTTTATTAGGCTGATAGACGATTTTGTTTATAATTTTATCATACGTCGTTTTCATAAGTACGACAATTTGAAATTGCCAATAAAAATGCCAATAAAAAGTCACTCAACACCTTATCCGGTGCTCTTTTGCACATTTTGATGTACTTAAAAACACAGTTAACAAAAGAGGCATTCATCTTAGAATAATCTTCCAAAATAAATAAAACATTACATTCCGAATCAAACATATCGTCGCCTGTAAGACAGATTACATTTTTTGACAAATATTTATAAAATATACCGACAACTAAACGTTAATTATAATTGACAACATTAAGAACTAACCTGGTGTTTGTCCATTTTGCGAATCAAAATATTTTTGCAATGCAACCAAAATATACAGTGTATCTTTACTCGTACCGATATACAACATGTGTTTTAATAAAAGGGGAACATCTGAAGCGTCCATACTTAAGCAAATAATACACAGACATTTTATTACTTTTGTAGCTTCAATTTCGGTAAGTAATGTATATCTGCAATAATCAAACAATTCAATTTACTCAGTCTAGATGGCTATAACGTGTACTACTATCATTATTGTTATTATTAAAACGAAACAAACTATTAAATTTGTTCGACTTTAATCCCTTACATAACATGTATAATTTGTAATGCAATACTATAATTAATGTACCTTAACATCATGGCAATGGGTACTATTACATCGACATTTATTTCGTTGACGCTACATAATATGTCGTTGATGATTATGGTTTTGTATGCATGTCCAGGGTAAAATTTACCTTGCCAATGCAGTATACTTGTTTCAGAAATGTTTTTCAATACACCTGGTATTATATACACCCAACTATACAACAACAAAAAAAGAACAAGTAAACATCATACAGTCAATCAAATCGAGTACTTTTAAGGAAAAAACAAATAGGTAATAGTTTTTAATTTTACCTTTGAATGTAATTTTTTTTGCATGACTTAATGTCTTTATAGCAGCGTTCGACCAATTGCAACAACTGATTAGTAGTCAATCTATAAACATAGGTCGATAAACGACACAAAATCAGCTCCTTAATCTTCTCACGTATGTCTTGGTGGTTAATCACATTAAGAATGTGATTGAAAACCTAAGGAAGTTGTAAAATAAATTATTTACTTTGTACAAATCTTACATTAAAATTATACTATTTACCAAGCTCTGATGATTATTAACACGTCGGAATATTTGAGCCATATCGAAAGCAAAGTGGTGTTTTGAAATATGTTATTTATGACGTATATCAATACATTCAAACAATATATTTGTATATGATAATTAATTTGACATAAGTACACCGCTTTGCTTTTGAAGGGCTTATTTAATAAAAATTGTGCAGTTAGATTAATAAAATAGACACAAATATAAGCAAACCATTTGCCAATATTCTGATTAATTAGTTTACACCACAATTTAAAATGCAACAATGAATACTTTATCAAATGTTTCAGAGTGTAAATATAATTTAATCATTTACCTAAGTATTATGCAATTTCATTTTTTTTTTTTTAATTTAATGTAGTTTTTACAATAAGGTAGATACGTACTTCGTCAACAATTTTCCGTTCGTTCAACAATAAAGCATCGAATATGGCGTCTATTAAAACTAGTGATTCACGAGGATTATTTTCTCCAAACATTTCTCCATCCAGGTAGTCTTTGATCTGCGAAAAAAAAATTAAAAACTTTAAAGGCAATAATAAATTTAAAAAAAACTTATTTACCTAGGGATGAAAATGTCTAGAAAGTTTAGCATAAGCCAGTTTCAAAATAAATATAAACCTAACGCTTACAAGATAAATATTTGTGTACAATATAATTGTTATTTTAAATAGAATATTACGCAGGTAGAACGTATTTGGAAAATTCTAGTTTGTCCATTCAGAAAACTGTAGATGTAATAATATTTATTATCTTCTTACCGTGTCTAGATCAAATTCATCATAAACATCAATGGTTTTTAACCTTTTAGACGCCACACAGGTGAACGATCCTTCATTATAACGTTTCATTTTAGACTGCAGACGGTAGTCTAAAATGAGAAATGAGAATTCGGTTACAAACAAGAGCTTTTGTCAATTGTATTATCCAAAACAAAGAAACGGCTAATAAGAATAACAATTAATGATAACACTAATTTTTATTTAATCAGCATGACCAACACCGAAACACTAAATTATAAAAATCACATCTTATCAGTATGACAATCCTCAATGAAGAAAAGTAACTAAAATCTAACTATTAACCAATATTTATATGCCAATATATTAACTAACTAAAATCAAATACTATAAAATATTTATAGTATTTGCTAAAATCTAAACAATGTTTATCAGAGACCAAAGTTAACTGTTCTCTATTAGATCCCGGCAAATGGCTATATTATAGTATATACAAATAGTAATAATATACAAATAATTAGAAATCAACTGTGTTAAAATCACGATTTATCATTTAAGATAAATAAGACGGGTACGGTGTGGCGCAGTGGATACTGCAGCTGCCGCAAGGCGCCTGAGGTCAAGCTGCGACCGGTACCGCTTGATCCCGGATGGGTGACCACTCGGGTTTTTAGCGGCAAACCACACACCAATAGGCCGACCGGTGAGGACCAAGTAGCGATAATCCCGGTCAATAAGCCCACACGAATATTTATCATTTAAGATAATTTTTCTTATAGTTATCAAAGGGTATTAATATACAAGTGTTTACGGTTAACTGATCATCTTCGGACACTCTATAAATAATTTTGGCATCAATATATTGTAGTTTCCTTAATAATATTATATTTTGATATTATACCTACCTGTGTCCTCGTTGAAATCCAAATTAGTTTTTAGAAAAAAATATACAGACATTAACGTCTAAGAACTTAAGTATTAGGAATTTTATGAATTCCTTAGAAAATATTTTCCAAGCAAGCAGTGATAATGAGATTGGTCTATAATTGTCACAGTCTGAAAAATTACTGACCAATTATTTATCACCTATTTTGTGTAAAGGAATGACGACGCATTTGTCTAACTATTAGGGTACTTAACATCACTTACCTGTACATACCTAGGTAGGTATGTACTTATTAGATAATAAGTAATAAATTGAATACCCAGTAACGTTTACGAATGCAAAATATTATGCACAACTAGTTAAATGTTATACAGCAAATTAACCTGTTCTACGTTTTTAAAATAGGTGCGTTTGCTCGTAGACAATATTAACACAGTGAACGTCGACCAAAAATCAAATTAACCACTTCATAGGCGTTACTCAATCATTTGTTGGTATTATTTTTATGTTGAATTCAAACCCTAATCAGTTGTAGTTGAAATTATGTAATCGCTCAACAAAATGTGCCTACATTTGTTTTATTGGATTTTAATGTAATTAAATAAATTACAGTTATAAATAGCGATTAAAGGCAGTCATTTTTTTTTTGTCAATTATGGAGAGACCTTAGTAAACATTTTTAAAGATGTACCTACCTAATTAAAATGCATATGGCTCAAACTTATATTCATTTATTACAATAATACAAACCGGTATATAATATATTAAGTTGTAATATTTATAGTTTAATACGTCTTGTGCTATTATGTTTGAATAGTTATTTCAATTGATAGTTATTTTTTATATTTTTGTAATTACACAGAATCAAATATAAATGAAATCAGAATGGAAATCTATTGAGAAAACAAAAAACAGCGACCATTTTCTCAGTGGAAATAAACAAAAGAATGAAAAAAAATAATAAATTAATAACAGAACAGCTGTTAATGTGTCCCTTATATAATACAATTATAGGCACGTCCATTTTTTGTTTTCTGAAGCTAGATATTTATTTGTTTATTTTTTTAAAAATATTTTTAGTGTTACGTGGTAGCCGAACTGCAATAAACAATGCTTGACTTATTCGGTAACAAAGATGATTTCAATTTGTCGTCTGGTGCCAACGATAAAGCCAAAGTAGAAGAGATACAAAAAGCTATTTTGGTGGAACAACAGAAAGCCCAGATGAATGCTCAAGTGAGTAAATTAACATCCGGATAACTATTGAAAAATGTTTTAATCGTTGTATTACATGATTAGGTTCGCGAAATTAGCGAGATCTGTTGGGATAAATGCGTGGACAAGATCTCCACAAGGTTGGGAGGTAAGACTGAACAATGTATTTTAAATTGTGTTCACAGATTCTTCGATACATCCATTATCATCAAAAAATCGGTTTAACCAATTTCTCGAAAGATCCAAAACTGGTTAGCCCAATTCAAGCGCGCCTTCTATATTTTTTTTTGTGTTTTTACTGTAGTTTTCTCGCTGAAAGACAATTGTTATGTATGATATTTCAAAATAAATTATAATATACCACACGTGTTAAATGCTGGTTTTATGTAATTATACATTTCTAGTTTACAAAAAGACTTATTTATTATGTACAAAAATATAGCGTTTTGTTAGCATATTTTTAGCTCTCAGCATCTTATTTACTGTTTGAATCATATTATATGCTGGGATATACATAGCCGAACAACGATCGATTCTAATTTAGCAGATACAAATAAAGGGGGGAAACTGGAAAGTGACTATTATATAAATTTCGATTTGCTTCGACTAATACTTCCTCATACATACTCGTGTGTTTGTCGTTTGTTTGTTTAATCCATTTTTGTTCGACATTTTCAAACGTCTTAGTACAAAACAAGCATTTAAACGATGTCAAAAACATGATTTGAAAATAAGGTAAGAGATTTTTTTTTTTTTTGCTATCAAATGATTATAGAAATACATACGTAAAAATGTTAATGTAACGAAATAAGAATGGACAATACCAAACAATTGGTTGAGAAAAAAAAATGAAAAATGTATATTTTATTAAAACAACTATTTAAAAAATTAAACCATTTAAAAAAAAATTATATAACATTTTTTTTTTACCGTGTTAGTTATTTATCTTTTTAAAATCATATGTGATGTAAATAATAAATAATCGATCAACGAAGAATAAAACTCCCTGTTGGCTGTTAATATGCCTTTCTCTTGTATTTATTGTGTATTCAGTTTCAAAGTCAGCATTGGGTTTTATGGTAGCACTAGACCTATTATTTAATAAATACCAATAAATAGTAAAACAAAATTATCAAACAACATAAAAATGGACCTACCTATGTATGCTATCTAGGCAACTAAAAAATATTTAGCTCGTTGTCAAAAATAACTATTAAAAAGTATTAACTGTGTTAGTTAACTGTGTTACGATTTATGATACAATATGGTCATAAATAATTATTTTATTTATGCATATTGTATTTTGAGATCTGTAATTGTTATGTAAAGATAAAAGGTTAAACGTTGAAAAAGTTTAATACCTACTTCCTAGATTCCTTTTGAATAGAGGTAAACGCCATCAAACAGCCTACAACAATTGTTTTGTTAAATTTGTTATCAATCCTTTAACTAATTAACGAAAATCACGATTATAAACACAATTTAAATTACCTTTATAGTGGTAATTAAAATCTTATCTTTATTGATTTATAGTATTTTTACCATCTATAAATATTTATCTAAGCGGTATCTATCATTAGACACACTATATTACTTATGTAGGCATAATTTGGTATTTGTACTATTTTATGTGACCGCCTCTGACCTCGCCATAATTATTTATCTATATTCCTACAACCCCACTCTCCACTTACCAGCCGTTCTTTTCTTATTTATTTTTACATTTTTAAAGCCTTCCTCTAAGGATTATGAGACATTAGATTGAAAATTATCTAATTAAGGTCCTATTTATTTAAATAATATTTGTACAAATTAACCAATCAAAGTCTGCTGCATCAGAATCACAAACGCCGGTTGAATGAGCAAAATTAAAAATGTTTAATTTTTTTTTCTTATCACAACTCCATAGATCAGAAACTACACCTGCATGGCACATATTGGACAAAACATATTTTTAAAAGTTCACCTCTTCCCCTTCAAAATCCAGAAAAACATTCAACAAATGTAAATTTTTTTCAACTTATGAATAACATAACTTTAATACTTTAATAGTATTAATACGATCAGACACAAAAGTATATAATTTTAAGCATATTATGCTTTTATCGCTACATATTTGTATTCCTAGGTGTACCATCTATAGATTCGCATCGAAGCGTTTATTTGAAAGTGTTTTTATCACTTTCAGGTAGAATACTAATTCCTTAGAAATTGGGACTGCCCCGATCACAACACGCTCTGTCCCCACTATAAAGTAAAAATCAAATCATTTGTTATCTTAAATGCAGAGCAGCGGAGTCATATAGGCTATATTTCCCATGTTAAATTATCAATGTTCCCATTGCGATTTCATTTATTCCGATGTAATTATAAGGGAAAAACGAAACAATAATTAATAACAACAATACCGATTTGTGTAAATGTGTCTTGAAGAGATAAATAAAATTCCCAGACATCGTTATGTTCAACATACTTGTGTGTGGTATTTAAATTCAAAAACACCGGTTGGTTACACTGTGGTCTGTCAGTGTGAATAGCGTTCTGTAATGACTTTCTGCAGCTGGTAAAGATGACAAATGACAATTGAATTTGGTTTTTTCACTTTTCAGAACTTACTGAGTAAATTTCATTTAATTTTCGCAGACAGAGCTATTCTTTGCCGCTTTTCTCCATATTACTGTAAGTATTGACGATTTTTTTCTGTTCATTTTGTCATAATTAGTATTATAACTCATTTTATCGAGTGCGGCTTGCTTAACAAAAATGATGTGATACTCTCTCTAATCTGTTTTATACTCGAATGTAATTTTTGTATAACGGTTTTAACTGTCTGGCGTGTGAGCATTAAATATATATACTTTATAAATTAATTACAAATTTTGTTTAAATTATGTAGTACAGATTCTTTAAGTACCTAAATTGAAGCACCTAGAGCTGTTAAAAAAATTACGTTAACCTAACCAATTAATTGGTTAAATTAGTGTAGTTGTTTGGTTGCGTCTTTTAAGCCTAATCATTTATTGTAGGGTTCCATTATTAATCTGGTTCAACATAACACATTACCTT